CACCTCCAATTAGAAATTATATTCTCCTTAAGACATTTTTCCACATTTCCTTCCCCAGCCCCTGGCAACCACTAATCTACTTTCTCTCTGTGAATTTGCCTGTTCTGGACAGTTCATACAAATAGATCAAACAATATGCGGCCTTTTGTTACTGACTTCTTTCACTGAGTATGTTTTCAGGGTTCATCCATGCTGTAGCCTGTGTCATCAGCACTTCCTTCCCTTTTTTTTTAATGGCTGAATAAAATTCCACCGTGTGGATAGACCATTTTCATTTATCCATTCTGAGCTTATGGACATTTGGGCTGTTTCCATCCTTGGCTACCGTGACAAGTGCTGCTATGGACAATGACCGTTTCCCTCTGCTTTCCTGCCTCCCTCTCACGTGCACACTCCCAGGTTATAACCACACAGGACACTGAATACTTATCCCCTTGCTCCTTTCTACCTGGAATTAATTTCGGGACTAGAACCCCAGGTGGGAAAGCCAGGTCTAGAGAAAAGAAAGTGAACGGCCCAAGATCACCTCCATAATCATGTTATCCATTTGCTTTTCCTTCCTTCCATTTATCTGCCCAAACAGCTAGCTCTTCCCCTCATTCTTAAAATGTTTCTGAGTGTCTGTGATGGGCCAGGCTCTGTGCTAGACACTAGGGTATGGCCAAGCTTGCAGTGGAATTGCTTCATTCGGGCATACCATTTCCCCTCTCTCCACAGGGCCTTGGCCATGAACACTCCAGGGCCCACTGAGCAGCCTCTGCTCCTCCAGACAGAGGCATCTTAGTGGTCTTGGTGATGAGGTCCTAGAGGGTAAAATCTCACATTTGTCAAGGAGTGAGGAAAGTCCCCAGGACACTGAGGATGTGGTGATAGCTTCTCCTGTCCCTTGGCCAGAATGATGTGGGGCGAGTCACTCCCCATTGTGACCTTGATGTCCACATCTGGGGAATGTCTATCATCAGGATTACTGGTTGCAAGCAACAGAAACTGATTGCGTTTGTTCCCAGAAGCAGACTCTATGAGTGTTCCTGTGGCTGCGCTAACAAAGCCCTACAAACGGAGGGCCTTAACAGAGCGTGCTCTCTCACAGCTCTGGAGGCCAGAAGTCAGAAACCAAGGTGGCAGCAGGTTGGCTCCTCCTGGAGGCTGTGAGGGAGAATCTGACCCACCTTCCTCTCCCAGCTCCTGGTGGCTCTGGGCAATCCTTGGGGTTCCTTGGCTTGCAGAGGTATCACTCCAGTCTCTGCCTCTGCCTCGCTTGTCCCTCTCCTTGTGCGTCTGTTTCTGTGTCTCTCCTCAACTTGTAAGCTCACTAGCCAGTATTCGATTAAGGGCCCACCTTACTCCAATATGTCTTCATTTTAATTAATTAATATTTCAAAATATGGTCCCATTCACAGATAGCAGGGGTTAGAATTTGAACATATCTTTGGGAGGGGGAGACAAAATTAAACTCACAACGTAGATCTGAGACTAGAATTTTAGTGCAGGGTGTATATTTGGGAGGCGTCCCTGGAAGCTCCAGCAGGTGGGGACGTGAGGCAGGGAAGAGGAGGGGCCCATCCAGGAAATATTAATGCGCAGGTGTTCTGGCGCTCAAACCCAAGGGGAACCTCTGAGAAACTGTATAGAATGCTCTTCAGACGCATGCCCTGCCCAAGGCTGAGAAGGCTGGGCTGTGTCCTTCAGCTCTGTGCGCTCCCATGGTATGAACCCCCCAGCACCTTGGCCTGTCCTAAGTATGCTCCCGCTGGAGATAACCTTCTGTTTACTGGAAGAAGGTGAAGATGTCAGGGAATGAGGGTGGACGGGACGTACACACAGCTCCAGGCCACCTGCCTCTCCCACTCTTGCTACTTAACAGAAAAATAAAATAAAAGCGACGCTTTAGAAGGCTCTTGAGCTCAGTGAGATAACAAAGGGAAGGAGAACTAGCTTGGGGAGACTAAGAAACTGAGTTGCACCGGCTGCTGGCTCCCGCCGGGCTTTTGTGCTCATCACCAAAAGATGCAGCTCTGGGTCGACTAAGAGCGTCCTCTACAGTTTCTCTGTGTGGCGGGACGCATGGCGGGAGGCTGCCCTTGCGCCTGGCAGCTGCGGCCCCTCACTGCCCTCTCTTCTGGGCAGGGCGCAAACCACACAATCACTTCCAGCCGCCTTGGAAGGGAGCTTAGGGGGGCACAACAGACCCGCAGCCACAGCGACACACCTGAACCCGCAGGCCGCCTGGTCCCCGTGCTGACATGGCTGTGACAAGGGGCCCCACCTGGGAGATGTGTTGAAGGGATCCTGAGAGTTAACGCATAGCGAACTCTTGGCCTGACATATAGAAAGTGCTCGGGAAATCACTGTTCTTATGAGTTTCATCAAATGTCAGGAAAGAGAAGCCCGAAATACCAGCTCCCCAGAACTGACCCTAAGCTCTTGCAAAGGCCTCTGGGCTATTTACAAACATTCTGCTTCTGTCTTATCCAGCATTATAAATATTTGGTTCTCCCTTTTGTCTGGTTTTGAATAGCGCACTTGTGGGAGAGGGTGGCTGTGTGCCAGGCACGGAGCCGAAGGCTCTCTGTGGTCCTCTCATTGGACCGCAAAGGCGGCACCCCAGCGCTGCAGAAGAGGAAACAGCGTCAGAGAGGAAAAGCCTTCTCCTTTTTACGACCGGTTTCCCATGGGAATAGAAGGCAGCGTCGCCCTCTCCGTCACTGTCTCTGAGTGCCCGGGCTGTAACGCACACTGTGTTCAGGAAATTCTCCTGGGCCCATCTCTACTCTGATAGAGATGGGGCTCTGAGAAGGTGAGAAGCGATGGGCCTGGTACAGGGAGCAGGCGGCCGCGGGCTGGTCAGTGTTAACAGCTACACGTTGTTAACGTGTTCGCTCTTGGGTGCAGCCTTCGCCATGTCCATGGGCTGAAACTCCCACCGTGGCTGATTTCCAGCCAACGATGGGGGCGGGGCAGAGGGGCAGAGCACACTGCTGAGGACCTGGGACAGGTGTGGGACAGGTGTGCAATAGCTCCTCAAGGTTTAGTACTTCCGCCAGACAGATATCATAGACATAAATGCCTCAAGAGCAGAGAGAATAGTGAGATGTAGCAAAATAAGCAGGAAGTGACGTGTTTCTAATAAGGAGTACTTTCTTTGTAATCTAAATAACAACGATATGTTTATGTGATTCAACTTTTAGTAAGGGCTCTGTTTAACTCTCCGAGTGGGTCCAGCCTGGCTTCAGCATGCTACCAGACACCTGGCCTCGCCCCTCCCTGACCTGCCCCATAGTCGTCAAGGGTTCAGGGCCAAGGCCAAAGGTCTGACTCAGCTTTGCGTGGAGGCAGTAGGGACCACATGGGAAAGTCTTGACTCTGAGTGTGTGTGGACTGCTTCCCAGGACTCCTAAATTCCCTGCTGGACATTTGCATGGAAGTTAGAATCGGAACTGAAAGGAGCCTGGAGGGCATCTGGTCCTCTATCTTCATTTTTTAGATAATGACTCGAGGTCCAAAGAGGGACAGCGAATGGCCCAAGGCTGCACATCTTATTAGAGATGCCACCGAGATGAATTCCTGGGCCCAGCACCCGGCCCAGCCTTCCTATTCTCTGAGCCACAAGTCATTAGCCTGTCTTTCCCCAGGGGCTTTCTTTCTCTGAGGCAGGTTCTTGGCACAAACTCTCCCTGCATCTCGTTCCTGGGAGGGATGCTGCTGTCTGCTGATAACGGGGAAAGGCTCTAGGAGGGATGTTGCTGTCTGCTGATAACTGGGAAGAGTTCCAACCCAACGAGGGGCACGTTCGAAGCGCTTAACGCCTGACAAATGGTGGATAGAAGCAATTCATTTCTGAAGCGATTCAAGCCTCTGTTTTTAAAGAGACACCTCCCATCCCCTTACCCCTCATTGCCCACCCCACCCCCCAGCCCCAGTATTTCTCATACTGAGATGTCATTGTGTCTGTTCCTGTGACACCCCAGGACAAGGTGGAGATAAAACTAAATGATATATTGGAAATCTGTCTGTGGTCCTGGAACCAAAGTGCTGAACACCTGGGAGAACAAAATCTTCCTGTTGGGCCAGCAAAGAGCATGGAGCGGTCAAGCCTGAGAAGGGTGTCTCACCCGCCTTGCACATACAAGCCCTCTCTTACAGCTAGGAATGCCCTTTTAGGGGCTCTCAGATGCATCGTCTCTGCCTCCATACCTCAGCCCACAGATCTTCTTCCAGGTACGTCCTTCCTCCTCCTAATTCTTAATAGTTCTTCAAGATCTAGGGTCTCCGCTCCTCCAGCAAGCCTTCTGTGACTACGCTATCTCACGTGAGCTCTCCTTCCTCCAGACACCTGCCATCATTTCACTCACTACTACTCTTTTCCACAAACAGCGGCCTCCTGCCAACCTGTAGAACGTGAGCCCTGGCGGCTGAGATTAGCGTCAATACAGTTTCATGTACCCCACCATGCCTGGGTCCACAAAACAGCCCCCTATCCCACATTGCTACCCGGCAAACTCCTACTATTCATCCTTTAAAGCTCCAGGTTGAGTGCCTCCAACCCTGGAAAACCCTTCCTGATTCCCCGGGGCAGAGCTGCACATGTTTTGTGCTTCCATTGCATTTACCCGTAATTCCCCCACAAGAGCGTCCTGGATACTAACTTAGTGACGGGCACCTGGCAAGGCATCAGGACCCTTACACTGAATGAGACAGAATCAGGCTGTACCCTGAGGAACCTATACACCACCTTGGGAGGCAGGCACCAACTAATTTCACGATTACTTAATTAAATGTCACCCAGATGCACTGACCGCTTGCTAATATGCTTCGTGCACACTGAGGCAGTTAATGTCCACACATAAGCTGAGAGCACCGGTGTTATCTCCCTAACCCTCTGAGCCTCAGTGCTCCCTGTGGGCGGGGACCTAAAATTGCACCTTCCTCCCTAGTCCCACACTCTCTCCTAGTCCCCTTCCTGCTTTATTTCTCCCTTCGACACTTGTCACCAAACATACTATGTTCTACTTTTATTTCTCGCTTATTCTCCGCCTCTTCTACTGCAATGTGAATCCCCTGAGGCAGGGGATCTGGTGTCTGTATCCCCATAGCCTAGGACAGTGCCTGGTCAACAGTGGTGATCGAACACATTTGTTGAAAGGAATGTGTCATTCTGCCTTTTTCAGATGAGTAGATCATTGGTGCTCAGAGACACCAAACAACTTGCCCGAAGTCACACAGCTGATGAGCAGCGGAGCCTGGGCACATACTCTAGGGCACGTGCTTCTTGCTCTTGCTATGTCATGTCATTCCTTTGTACGGCCATTACCTATCCCCTGACTCCTCCCCACTCAACTACGTCAGCCTCCACGCTGGGAGCGGGTGTCTCCCTCTTGTACCCACAGGACCCCTCACAGTGTCTGGCCCAGATGGTTTCTGCTAAATGTTTACCGAATGAGTAAATAACCACAGGAATGCATAATTATATTTCACAAACATTTGGTTATTGATTGTTGAGACACAATACTCAGTTTTAAGTCCTTGGACTCAGGTGCTGTGTGTCAAGAGAAAGTATACTTTGGTAGGCAAAGCATGTCACGGTCCCCTCGCACATTTTTGATGTGCTCCTTGCTTCTTTGCTTCCAGGAAAAGAGCTTTTGAGGGTGTGAGTTCCATCTGCCTACCACCCGACTTTGACGCACGTAGATAAAGACAGACGCCTGCCCTGCCCGCATCCGGGGGAGTGCTTACAGAATGGACAGTGTCTGGGAATCGCCCATCTCTTCCCGGCCCCCCCCACCCCGGCACTTACACTTACGTGGGATTTCTCTGCCAGCCTGGTGTGCAGTGCCCGTTTCCAGATATTCTTGGCAGAACCGACTTCGAGGAGAAGCAGCAGGAAGCACAGAGCCGAGATGACCTTCCTCGTGCTGTTGCCCATCCTGCAGCTGGTAGAAGGCGTTTCCTCCCAGATGTTCAGAGGAGAGGGGCCCTCTCTCCGGGGGTGTCCTGCGAATGAGGAGCAGAAGTATTGCACGGTCTGCCAGACTGTCTCAGCTTCACTCGACTGGGTCCCTGGGATCATGTGTCCACGCCCAGCACATGCCCCCACCCCCACCCCCACCCCTGATGGTGGCCGGTCTGCCTGGTTATTTTTAGCTTGTCCTATAACATCTGGCCCCAGAGACTCCAACCAGGCAGTTCAGATGGCAGTGGCAGGCTGCAGGAGGAGGGGGCCCCCAGGCTTGCTCGGAGACGTGGCTGGGAGTGGCCATGTCACACTGGGACGAATACTTCCTTGCAGGCTGGGCGGGCAGTCTCTCCTTGAGGAGGTGTGCTGGCCGCGGGGCTGGGAGAACCAGGGCCGGGTGGGGGTGGGCACACAAGGGAACAAGTCCAGTGGGATGGGTGGGGATTCCAGCTGTTACCTCATTCAAGTTTCTGAGCTGGCCTGACAAACTCTGTCTGCCTGTGAAAGCTCCTCTGGAAGACATTGCTGAATGGGGGCTGGATGCGTGCGTGGCTGTGGGGAGATGACTCATGCCCTTGAACCCTGGTGTCCTCTCTACTGTGGGCATGTGGAGAGTTACTCACATCGTGTGTTTCTTGAGAGTTCAATGAAATTGTATGAGTGAAGTGTTTCATATACATCGTAAGTGGGCTATAAACGTCAGCATGTGTGTATGTGTTTTATACAGGGATCGATATTTCACAAACTTTATATTCTGTTACCTGTTCTCGGCAACTCCAAGACAAGTACTGTTTTGACGCCCATTCCGCAGGTGAGGAGACAGAGATACAATACTTGCCTGAGGTCTGGCAGCAGGTAGTAGAGCTGGGGCTCGACTCCAAATCTGTCTGACCCCTGTGACACACCACTGGGTGAAACAGAAGGGACCCAAGCTCCAGACTTAGATGCACCTGGGCCGAGTCCTAGCTCAGCCTCTGTCTGTGTGATGCTCGGAAAGCCTCTTGGCTTGCTGCCCCTCAGTTCATCTGGGACACTAAGTTCGTGATCATTTATTACAGTGGCAGTAAGAAGCCCATACACCCCAGTGTAGGATGTTGGCTCTGCAAGGTCAAGAATTTGTGCCTCTCTTATTGCCTGCACCCCTGTAACTTGCATAAGGATTGGCCTGCATCATCACTCAGTAAGTACTGACTGGCTAGATGCATGCTGCCCCCATTAGTGACTGAACTCCAAAGTGCTTTCCTCGCTACAGGGCACAGGGCTTGACATACAATAGGTGCACGATAAATGTTCTTCAATTGAGATATCAGCTCTGAAGCGTTATTAGGACCATAGGGCCCCAGGGTGCCAAGCTGTGACGTGTCAGTTAATTTCTTGCAAAAGTTGACTTATAAAAACGATGCTCCAAGCTCTTCAGGACTGCAAGGTGAATACCCCAGGCACACAACAACACTGCAGTTTTCACGTGGAAGGAGAAAAATCTCCAAGAGGAGAAATTAACACAGAACAAATTTACTTGGGAAAGCAGCCGCTTTCCTTTGATCAGGGAAAAGCAGGCTCTGGTCTGACAGCCAGGCTGGGCGCTCCCAGCCAGGAGCCGAGGGGCCAGCCGGGGCCTGGGGCCCAGCACGATTTCAGGGCCACAGCTCTCAGGTTCCCGCCAAGTCTCAGAACTTTATGTTCCAAGTGGCAGAGGTCCTCCTAGTTTATCTGAGCTCAAGTGACCTGGACCTGATCCCAAGCTTCGTGGGCTGTCCTCAGGGGACTCAGCAACCTGTGAGTGTGGCTTCCTGCCGATCTGTGGGCGAGGTTTCCTCTGGGAAAGCCTTGGAGTAGGAGGCCTTTCATCTCCTCTGCTTTGAGGGGCCTGCTGGTGATGCCTGCCTGCTGGGACCTGACAGCTGCTGCCTGCCCAAGGCTTCCCGCCCTCCCAAAAGGGAGGAAAATGTCTCCTTGAAAAATAGAAAGGGCACAGGTGCTTAGGGGCCTCAATCTAAGGAGCAGAGGTCATGGCTCGCCGTTACAGGATCTAGCAAGAAATCCTGCCCCTCCACTCCTGATAAAGCTCCTCAACCTGACCACTGAGGCTTCACATTTCTTCTCCAAAAGGCAAAATATTTTCTTCCTTGATGGTCAGACCAGGCAAATAAGTGCTCTAGGAAAGGAGACAGGGAGGTACATTAACCCATACTTCACACTATAGTGTGAATGACTTCCAACAGAAAGGAATATACGGGCAAAAGGAGGAGCAGAGTTCATTCATTCATTCATTCATTCATTCAAACATTTGAGTGCCTGTTATGTGCCAGGCTTGGGGATACCACAGAGCATAAAACCAGGCCCAGCCCCTGTACTTAAGAGGTTTACTGCCCAGTAAAGGAATCAGATATTAATCAATCACTGTCTTTAATAAACACTTACATGGCAGTTTTTGCTGGCAGGCACGGTTTTGAGTATTTTAAAAATATTCACTCATTTAATCTATCACAAGTCTACTAGGTAGTTGCCATCATCATGCTCATTTTAGAAATAAAGAAACTCAATCTTGGCGAGATTAACAATAGAGTGCTTGAAAAATATTCACTCATTTAATCTATCAAAGCTCTGTTAGGTAGGTACTCTTACTCTCCCTATTTCACAGATGGGAAAGCTGAGGGTCAGAGAGATGAACAACCTGCCCCACCATACATAGCTGATAACTGGCAGAGCCAGGACTCAAACTCAGACATTCACTTTCTGAGCCTGTGCTCACGGCTATTACACCACGTAAACATGGAACAGGTGACCCACAACAAGGATATGCAAGGGAGTAAGTTGACCTAGTCAGAGGGGCCAGCAGAGGTCTCCCTGGAGAGGTGATGATGCACCTGAGGGCTGAAGGACAAGGCTGGAAAGAAAAGGGGCTTTAGATACAGACAGATTGGCTTAGAATACCATAGGGAGGAGGGTAGTGAGAAGGAGGCAGGCCTGCTAACCCTGGGTTTGGGCCTTACTCGGGTGGCTCGGTGATACCTCTACCAAACAGAGCCATTTTTTTTAATATAGGTCCTTGTCACTTTTGCCTTCCTGGATACATTCCTCTATTACAAAATATTAAAAACATTAAAAAATGATCTATTATAGCTTCATTGATAAAAAGACAAAAATAATACAAGCTGGATTATATTTTTTTCCTTCTGATTTTGAGAGAAATTAAAACACTTTCCTTAGCCCCTAAAAGTCTCATGGGCCCTGAGCCATGTGCCCGCTGTGCCTATAGAAGACAGCCCTGGGTCCAAATACTGCTGTGTGGCCTCAGGCAAGCCTACGCACTCTCTGAGTGAGGAAGCCGGGAGAATTAAATGGATAGTATAAAATAGCCTACACGGCACATAGGAGGAGCTGGTTCTCTGCTGCTCCCTTCTCACTATGTTCTTTGCGAGAGCAGGGAGAGCTGATGGAAAAGGCCCTCAAGTTGCTCAATCTGCCTTAAGAACCTCACAGCCCAGCTCCGCTCCAGGCTGTGAATGAAAACAGATGTTCCCTGGGCCGCTTTGTTCTTGGAGAGCCAGACCCTGACCTCAGTTCACCTCGCCATCTTGCCACTGACCTTCACTCAGTGTCTGTCTCCCCCTTAACTCACAGTTGATGTCCTCCCAACCAGGGAACTCCCAGCTTCCCTCTCCGACTCCAACTCCAACGAGCCTGGCTGACCTCACCCCTGCCCTGACAGTGACCAGTCCAGGCCAAATCCCTGGGAAACTGATGCCTCAGCTCTGGCCAATATGACCTCCCATGGGTCAAAAGGTCAGGTTCGAAGGCTGGCCTGGCTCTCTGACCCAGTTGTTTCCAACGTTCCCCAGCTGATTCTAATGAGCATCCAGAACCAGGAGCCCTGACAAACTCGGCCTCTTTCCCAACACCCGCCCCCCACCTCCAGGCCTCGAGTCCCTCCGCTCCCTCTCGCTTCTTTCTGCTGCAGCTCACTGGCCTCTCCCGTGTGCGTGTTCACCACGCACCCTTTGCCA